AAAATTTCCAATTAGACTCAGCTAAAGTGAGTAGGGAAAAGAAAAATAAACAGAGGAAAAATACATGAGTTGCAACATGTCAGTAATGTTTGGCTGTTGAAACTGTTAAAATAGCTAAAAAAAAAAAAAAAAAAAATGACATCATTTTCTTTGTAAATATCTAATGTCATTAGGGTACAAGGCTTCTAACTCATTAAAGGTAAGAAATAAGAAACCATTCTGAGAACAGGCTTGAAAGAAAAATATATTCAAGGCTGGAGAAAGGTTAAGTTGAGAAATAGGAAATCTATCCCAGTACAATTCCTGTATATTTGCATATATGTAGTTATATTTGTTATTTGAAAAAATTGAAAATTGGCATGTTCAGAAGAAGTGCATGATGGTGATGATGAGAAATGATGTACTGTTTCATCAAAAGAGAGAAAAATAAAACATATACATAAGATCAATGTTTCTGGATTTTTCTCTGAAGGACTCAAGAATAAAATTGTGATAAAGATATGACAATGAAAGTTTTTGCAAATGGGAACCATTAACTGAAGCAGCAAATAATCCTAAGTCTAAAACTGAAGTCATTAAGTAATGAACCTGATCTCATTGTCAAAACTTTAAAGGAGGACAAACCAAGGAAGCAAGTCACTTGTCTTCTTCAACATCCATCGACATGCTGATATTTACTGCATGGGGAGTTTGACTCTTGAAAAACAAATTAGACATGAATAGTGGACCATGAACAATCTAATCCCACAGATTAAATTAAGGGTTCAGTTCGAAATTTTTTTGCAGGTTTTTTGAAATGCCGTGATAACAGCAACAAAGATGAAGTCAATAGTCCGCACGTAAATAAATAATTTCTGGTTGACAGATAAGATGCTCCTGCATAGTGCAATGATGTGTGTCTGTAAGCCCTTAATAGTTTATACCTTACATTTTCATTCATTTAGCTTTTAGGTGCCTAATAGATGGTGTATAAGGATGCGGGGGGGGGGGTGCAAATTCCCTGAGCTTATTAAGAATGTCTGTTATAATAATTTCACACTTTTTGATTCTTTAAATAATTTAACTGTCATCCCTTTATTACCCACTGCTCATTTATTGCATATAGAAAAAAATTCTGTATCTTTTCATTCATAAATGACAATTTTAAGAACTACCAGAATTCAGTATCTGTCTATATTTCTGAGATGAGTTATTATGTACATTATTTACATTATTCGGACTATTATCCTCATCTTTGTCGCCATGTTTCTCACAATGTTTTGGCCGTTGTACGCTCCGACCTTCTTCAGGTGGTTGGAATGTCGAACTGAACCTTTTATTTCACTCACTGGAGTAGACTGTTCTAGTTCCACGTGCCATGTTTAATGGATGTCAGTTATCAGTTATCTCCTGTTAATTTCCCACTTAAAGTTCTCCACTACCTTAACCAGGTATTGAACTCACACTTTATCACACTGTCACTGGATCTAACTAATGCCTGTGCCATGTGTCCTTGAGGACAGATGGCACAGTGGATAATTGATAACTGATAATTGGCATCCATTAAACATGGCACGTGGAACTAGAACAGTCTAACCCAGTGAGTGAAATAAAGGGTTTGGTTCGACATTCCAACCACCTGAAGAAGGCTGGAGTGTACAACGGCCGAAACATTGTAATAAATATGGCGACAAAGGTGAGGACAATAGTCCGAATAATGTAAATAATGTAAGAAAAAATTCTGACTACCCTTAATTATTAAGAACCCACATTATATTAGGCATGGAAAAGTACATTGATGTTGATATGCCGTAAAACAAACCAAACCAAACCAAACCATAAACTTGGTAATTCAGTGAGAGAGGCAAGAACAATTTTGAGACACTGAATAGAAGATGATTTCTTTTAGCAATTCTAAACCAAGAAACATAAAGGATGATTAATTTCTATGGGAAGAGATAAAGACAAAGAAGAGTGCAATATTAATAGGTGATTAAGCAAATATTAGCCAAGTAGAATCCATCAAGCTGTCCATCTGAAAGACTGCAAAAAAATAATATTAAAAAAATGAAACTATGGAGTATATTTTAAAGGAGAATTCTAAATTCTGAAGTACATCCTAAGTCACAAACATTTTGAGATAAATAAGCTGATTAATACTCTACACGCACCGAATTAAGGCTGCACAGTCTCATCTATAACTCTACGTTAACTACTTAAGATTATCGTAATCTCTCATCTGTCTGTTTACTCCTGTTACAAACAATAACAAAGATCTAATATAGTTTTTCTCTTTTCACCTGTCTTTGCTGATGTATCAACATCCTTGTCTATAATCATTACTTTTACACCAACATTCCAATAACATTTACTTTGCTTTGCTATCAAGTCTTACTATAGTCTCATCTTTTTTTCCTTTTATCACTGTTTTATAAACCGGCTTTCTAAGAAAAGCCCACTGGTATATCTTATGCAGTCTTGTACTTAATAACCAACTATTGTTTTTTAAATTTATACTTAACCATTTAATTTCTACTTGGATGTACATCATTAGAACCTATATTTTGCAAGCACTCTGCCTGGTACTAATTAAAGAATAATTTTCTTTGTCAAAAAACCAGGTGGGAAGGAGCTTTGAAAAGTAAGACCATAGTCAGTTATGAGCCATGCGTGATACATGCTTAGGTGAGCATGTGTCTTTCAATACATGACTGAGGAGGCAGGTTTTTCCCACAGTAGGTTGTCATTTCTTTCTGCGGTAGACCAGTTGCCATCTAAGGTTATAGAACCCAGTTTGTCCTGCTATTTACCCATAGCTGGGGGGAGAAGAGAATTTGTACCTTTCCCAAGGGTATTAGCATGTAAGTGAATGTAATGGATTTGACTGGAATTTGAACTCTGCTTTCTGATTCCTCAATTCGAGCTGCTATCCATTACTCCACCATGCCTCCCTGAAAGACCATAACAAATTCTTGTTTTTTTGTTTCATAGGTAAGTAAATACCATTTTGTTGTTTTTCATAGAAATGTCTGTTTTAGAAAGACCATAACAATTTCTAAAACAATGACATTTCTATGAAAAACAACAAAACAATATTAGCTTATATATGATACAAAAAAAAAAAAAAAAAAACAAAAAGCCCCAAAACAACCAAATTCAAATATTAAACAGTAACCAATGTGCTGATATAGGGAGCAAATATATCACAGGTATGACCTTTTTAACTAGATAAATTTTGGTAAGCTGTTGTTCAAAAACTTGTGCTTATAAAACATGCAGTCAGCAGTCAAGGTCATGTATAATATAACCAATTATATAACATTACCAAATATGGCAAGAGATAATACAATTAATTATATATTGCAAAATATGTTAATAAATAACATAATATCTACTAGATTCTGTTGCTTATAAGATGCATCTTTTTCCTATAAAATATCTCCAAAAACCAATCTGTGTCCTATAAATCGAAGGTCCGTGGCAGGAGTTCTAAGTTTGAGGTGAGTATCAACTCCCCAGTTCCATACAATTCTGAGCCCTTAAAAGTAAAATAAGTCCAGTATTTCAAAATTAAATTAACAATGTTTTGAGAGAAAATATTTATGCAGTTGGGATACTAGGATATTAATAGGAAATTAAATTCCTGCTACAGTAACACCTTCCTTGCTTGCTTATTTCTTAAATTACTGGTCACAAAACAGCATCATTTATGGGAGATACTTTTAGAATAATACTGCTGTATACTACATTTTCATTATCACATGCTTGGTATTTTTGCTTGATTAAGTAATCATACTTATGGCATGTAACGCTGTCAAATATTGCCATTATAAATAAAACTTAACTTTATTTTTGTATCCAAAGTTACATGTATCTTATTTAAAATCAATATTGGCAAAACAAAACTTAATTCACATTAAGTATCTGAACAAATGATTTTAACCAATTTCAACTCGGTTTTAAATGATTCATTTAATTTAATTTTTTTTAAAGTTTATCCCTCACTGTTTCAGTATTACTTTAATAAGAGAATATAAATTGAAATAGCTCACATGTATATTAATTGTAGAAGTGTCATAGATCTTGGCTATTTCAATGCATTTTTGCCTCAGTGAATTTTCTTTTTTTTTTTTTTTTTACCTAAGCAAGGCAATAATGCCACTAATATGCAAAGTGTTACTTAAGACCCATGGGAAAGTTATGAAGCTATTTCTTCACTTTTCAACTATAGATTAAATGACAGGGCAGACTGGTCTATTTAGGCAATCTAGGACAACTCTTAATTCAAAACTGTATGTAATACATACTACACAGATCATTGACTGTATAACGACTGTATCAATGTTTTCATTTTATTATGCTGAAAGAATCCAATGCAAGTCCAATGCCATAGAGATGTACACATATTCCTTTTGTTCAATTAGAGCTGTTTGAGAGGAAGTCAAATTGTGGGCCTTTGAGGTGCTTTGATGGCCATTTCAGATAACTGCTGTGCATACTGGACATAATGTGCTGGTGATGCATTAATGTTGACCAAACTGGTCAAATGAACATTCCTACAACCATAAACTAGGTTGGTAGCCTTTATTTTGGAAGCTGTGTATATATTGATCTTTATATGGGATCATTTATTGTAATCCAGCTATTTTATGTGTTTGTTTAATTTTGAATGAATTTCAACATAGTGTCTTTCAATTTTATTTTCCATCATGAAATTTGTATACACCAAATTTTAACAGGATAATTTTTTTCTCTATACACTTCTTTCTTTGGAAGAACTTTTCAATACCAGCCTTATTTAGTGTTAGGTAAAATTTCCTACAAAATTCATTAAACACATGATAAACAAAAATTATCATATTTACAGTAGACTGCAAATATAGCATCTAATAGAAGGCAGAGCCTTAATGTCTGGTGAGATTAAAACAAATGAATCAGAATGTTAAGTGGAGTGAGAAAAGAAAAGTAAGGAAAAATGGCAGTAAATCTAATTAAAAAAAAAATAAAAATAAACCTTCATCTCAAGCCAGTGAAATATCAAAACAAAAAAAAGAAAAGAAAAAGAAGAACCAAACAATAAAAAGCAAAGAGAGGCAAATAGAAAAAAGACAAAAACTGATAGGCAGAGTGAGAGAGGTGAAATGAAAAATGAACAGAACAAAATAAAAAACAAGAAAAAAAAGAAAATGGCTAGAGAAGGAAAGGATAAAAAAGGAAAATAAAAACAGAGAAGGAGGAAAGGATAAAAAGAAAATAGATAGAGGAGGAGGAATGGATAAAGAAGAAAAAGAAAAAAGACAAAAAAGAAGAAAAGGATAATAAACAGGACAAAAAAGAAAGAGAAAACACAGAGGAAGGAAAAGATAAAAAAGAAAAAACAGATAAAGAAAAAGGAAAGGATAAAAAATAAAAAAAAGATAAAGAAGATGGAAAGGATAATAAAGAAAAGAGATAAAGGAGGAGGAAATGACAAAAAAGAAAGAAAAAACAGATAAAGGAGGAAAGGATAAAAATGAAAAAGAAAACAGATGAAGGAAGAGGAATATATAAAAAAGAAAGAAAAAACAGATAAAGAAAATGGAAATAATAAAAAAGAAAACATATAAAGGAGGAGGAAATGACAAAAAGAAAGAAAGAACAGAGAAGAAGAATAGAAGAAAAAAGAAAACAGATAAAGGAGGAGGAAAGGATGAAAAAGAAAGAAAATCAGATAAAGAAAACAGAAAGGATAAAGAAAACAGAAAGGATAAAGAAAACAGAAAGGATAAAGAAAACAGAAAGGATAAAGAAAACAGAGAGGATAAAGAAAACAGAAAGGATAAAAAGAAAAAAAAGGATAAAAAGAAAAAGGAGGATAAAAAAACAGAAAGGATAAAGAAAAGAAAATAAAGAAAAAAAAATAAAGGGGGATAAAGGGGGGAAAGAACAAAAAACAAGAAAAAAACAGAAAAGGAGAAAAGCATAAAAATGAAAGAAAAGAAAATGGATGAAGGAAGAGGCAAGGCTAAAAAAGGAAAAAAAGGAGGAAAATATCTGAAGATGGAGGAAATAATTTCAGAAGTCTGAATGACAAGATGTTAAAAATAAGGATGCAGAAAGGAAAATGGTAGAAAAGAAGAACTTGAATAAATCACCACAGAAACAGAGAACATAAAAGAACTGGCCAGTGTTGATGCTGACAGACATTTAACCAGATGTGGCTGATTATCCTGTTCTATTTGTATAAACAGAGACAATAGCTGTTTGTAACTATTTGTGTAGTAAGTCACGATGGGACATCAATACAAAAAGGAGAATCAATGACACTAAGTTTTGGCTTCAATTCACCTTTGGATGATAGGCAAGACTAAATACTATTCATTCAGAAATCAATAAATATATATATATATGTGTGTGTGTGTGTATATATATATATATATATATATATATATATATATATATATATATATATATATAGTTATATAGTTATAGATGATAACAGTAACAATTAAAATTAAATGTCCACTTATCTGTTTCTACAGTTTTATGGCATTTACATCCACTGGTCAGAGGGATTGATAGTAAAATTGAATTTATTTACAGATATATTTTTGGTGAAGAGCAATTTTTGCAATTGTTATAGATACAGACAGTATGGACATAGTAATGAATGCAGCATGGTGACTATCAATTTCTTGCCTCAAGCTATCTTCAGATCAACTCTACAAATGCTCTGCTTCTTGTACAATAAATATATAAAATTTTAAACTATACACACACACACACACACACACACACACACAAGGGAGGTGGTCAGTTTATCTCAGCAGGTATTCCAAAATAAATTTTGATACATGGTCAAATTTTGGGAAGGGTTTAACCAGAATACTTTTCACTATCTGCTCATATACACAGTTTGTTTTATGGTATATCAACCTCAATGGGTTATTTAATGCTGAAATAATAATAGTGTAGTTTTCAAAAGGTGCTGCATGCTGGAATTGCCTCCCCAGACCAACATTAAAGATCACCTTCCTAACAACTCAGCCAAGAGAAAGAGAGACCAGATGGTATTTTATCTGTAAGATATACAGTACTGTATACTTAATTCCTGTCTTTCGGATTAGGATCTACTGATAATCAATAGTATTTTCTAAACAAGTTTACATTCTACAGTGTGACTGCAATGATATTTCCATAAAAAAACCCCAAAAAACATTGATCATGCTTTTTGGCAAGGTTGAGTTTCAATACTGGATGTTGAACCTCTATTTAAGAGAATTCTTTTCCTGTTTATTGCATCTCCCACTCTCTTTCTCTACATACATCTGATCATTCAGGCCTTCAGTAATGGTACCAATATTTATACTCTAGCTTCCATCTTCAAAGTCCATTCAAGAACCATCAACAGAATGGTGAATAATTTTAAAAAAGAGGGAACTATAGAGAGGAAAACTGGGTCAGTAGGTTATAACACCAAGAGGGATCATCATTTCAACTAAGAGCTAAATACACTCTTCTTGCTCCAGTAATGTTATAAAAGAGAATTCCAGTTAAGATATCTTTTATTATCTAAGATGCAATGGTTCAAAGCATAATCTGACATTTTTGCTGTTACACCTATATATATATATATATATATATATATACACACACACACACACACACACACACACACACACACACACAAATGAGAGAAAGAACAAATGTAGTAAAATTCCACTGTTCATCAAAGAAGTGCTCAATATAAATATATTATTATTATTTTTATTATAAAAGATTATAAAAACATTGAAATTGCTACACAAAAGCTTTCATGTTTCAATACTTTGTACTTCTTCAGGTGATGGCAAGGAATTGGCGATAAAATGATTTTAAGGAAATTTAAAAACAGATTGTTACGTCTTTTCTGAAAGTTAAAGTGTGTTTGAGGAAGGGGCATAAGGTCAGAATTAAAATTAGACTTGTGGGTATGTCTTGATTAACCAATTAAATGTCAGATCTATGCTAAATAGAAAAGTAAGCTGAGAGGGTGGAGGTGGGTGAGTTTTTTTTTCCTCCCATGTCATGATAAACTGGAATCATTGGTGATTGTGAAAAATTATGTCAACTCTTTGATAATAGCTTATGGAAACTGAAAATGATCACAAGACATCAGGCAATTTATGTCCAGAAACCAGAAAAATGGTCTGAGCTATAGGAAGATTAAATAAAAAAAATATCAAAGAACATTCACTGGTCTTCAATTTCTGTGTATCCTCATTGAAAGCACAACTATACTTAAACATGAAAACAATAAGCAAAAACCAAAAATTCTTGAAGGTATATATACATAAAACAGCTGAAACCTAACCTGAACAAAATAAACTATGAAATCTCCACAAATATTCTTAAATGCCTATAATTTATATATATATATATATATATATATATAAAACCAAAATCTGTTGCATATCAACTCACCATGACTGAGTTTTATGCTTTGTGTAATCTTCAAGTGGTGTTAAAAAAAAAGTATGTATGTATGTATATTGTGAAAATACATCTGCCTGATGTTTTGGCACACATTATCAATAATGTTTTTAGCTGAAGATAATTAGTGGTTTTGGCAATGGTGAATCCTGGGGTCGGGCCTGTCAGGCTTAGCCTGAGCGAGTCAACATTCAAGTATATCTATTTCAAAGCAACAAAAATCTTTCATAGGACATCATTTTCATTCTTAAATTCAGCTAGATACAAAATTATTTGTTTTAACTCTGCCTCAAAATATTGATTGAAATACATTTTGTTGATATTGTTCATAATAAAGAAGAAGGAAAGAAAAAAAAAAAGGATGAAATAAAATTAAAATGGAGACATACTTAATAGGCAATATGTTTCTTGCTTGAATTTTGTAAATAATTTTTTAAAAATCTCTAATGACTTGTATTCCCTGTTTTTCAAACACATTTTTATTTCAACTTATTGTTTTCAAATGTCCCTTTTAAATAATGTATTCTGTAGCGTATAAGTTTTTTTTAGCAGAATGTATCAATTGAAAAAAGACAAATTAAATTTAAAGTTGGTGAAAAATCAAGGAAAGCAGCAGTCTTAAGTTGTTGACTGTAGGGTTGGGATGAGGAGTCTGACTGGTTGAGGAAATATATTATCCAGCATTACTGATCATAAATGTACAATAAATTAAACTAAAAATTCACAGAGAGATATATAAAAACAATAATCTATAGACATATATACAAACATACACTTAAGATAGATACATGCGTTTTACATGTCTGAAAATTTTTTTTTTAAATGACTGTTTATTTTTACAGAATTGTTACAATAAATATTAAAATACCAAAATGCATATATTTTTTAATTTCATGCCCAAAGATTTTTTAAAATTATATATTTTAGTTAGAGTAAATGACTCATTTTAGCATCTGAGTTATACCAACAGTATATTTTGTTAAAGACTAATGAGCCCACCAAATATTGATGACCTATAGTCACCACTGGGTTCTGGGTCTTTCAACATCATAGCCCCTTCTCCACAGTGACCCAATCTGTATTGATCAGTGTTGACTTGTGTGCCATCCATCAGCTACAATCCACTCATAACAACACACTGCAACTCTTCTGGCATTTTATAGTCCAATCACAAACAACTTCCAGCTGACCAGCTTCTATGCTCTTCCACAAAAAAGGAAGCAAATGCAGTAACTGTGACACTCTCAATTTGAAGTGGTAGATAACAATTATTTCACTTGCCAAGATATATATATATATATATATATATATATATATATATATAATAATAAAAAGGCTTAAACACTAATATTCCATGGTCATAATTTATTCCATTGGAATCGTAAATACGATCCAAATCATCAGACCTACAAATTCAAAATGAAAACAAAAAAAACAACTCCGGAAATCAAAACAGAATTTAGAGAAAGTGTAAGTATGAGGAGGAGTGACAGAGAGAATTTTTGGAGATGTGGGTGGGGTGGATTTAAAAGAGGAGAGAAAGAAAAGTCGACGGATGTCTAATACATAAAGATACATTTCGTGGTGACATATACACACCACAGACAATTCGGATAGGAAGGGGGGAAAAAAAAAAAAAAGGGAAAGGGTGGGGGAGAGGGATGGGACGAAGGAAAATAAAATTGTGTTTACTTAAAATTTAAAATCAAATATAAATATATGAAGATGAATATAACGATTGTCTCATTTCGCAAGGACCAAATATTTCTATGTTCAAAAACACATACTAATACACACACAAAAAAAAAAAAAAAAAACATATACAAGTAGGTACATACACTTAGGCATGTACACACACACACACCCAGACATACGTGTACATGCACATACATACACACATACACACATATATATACATATACATATACATATATATACATATATATATACACATATATATATATATACACACATATACATACACAAACATACATACATATATATATATACAAAAACCTAAAAATATATTCACATATCCACACATACACATATTCATCTATATTCATATACACACACTTTTCACATACATATACACGCATACATATGCCCCATGTATACATTCATACATACTTATACATACACATATATATATACCTATACATACATACACACACACATACATATATATATACCTATACATACATACACACATACATATATATATATATACCTATACATACATACACACATACATATATATATATATACCTATACATACATACACACATACATATATATATATACCTATACATACATACACACATACATATATATATATACCTATACATACATACACACATACATATATATATATACCTATACATACATACACACATACATATATATATACCTATACATACATACATACACACATACATATATATATATATACATACATACACACATACATATATATATACCTATACATATATATATATATATATATATACACACATATACCCATACATCCACGCACATACACATACATACATATATACACACATACATACATATACACACACATACATATACACATGCAAATACATACACACCCTTATACATGTATATATATATACACATGCAAATACATACACACCCTTACACATATATATATACACATATATACACACACACACATAAACATGTATACACATAAGTACACATACACACCTATA